AGACCCCACGGTAGTACGTATCCTATAAAAGCTGTTATAATCATTATAAGTAAAATGACAACTCCAAGACACCAAACTAATTCCCTGGGACTCGAAGAACTTCCATAATATAGACCACGGAAAAGATGAAGATAAACCACAATAAAAAACATACTTGCCCCATTAGCATGCATATAGCGAAGCAACCAGCCGCCTTTCACATCCCTCATGATGTGTTCTACGCTTAAGAAAGCTAAATCCACATGAGGCGTATAATGCATAGCTAAAAAAACGCCTGTAATTATCTGAATGAACAAGCGAAGACCAGCCAATGAACCGAAACTCCACCAAGAACTTATATTGCTTGGGGTTGGATAATCTATTAAATGATTGTTAAATGTATAAAATATAGGTTGTTTAAGAATTGATAGTCGTGTGATCCATTCAATCCACAATAGAAAAGAGCAGCACAAAATGAATGTTATACGGTACTGTACTGCAAATGAACATCTACCATCTATCTGGATCACGGATGGTGAAGATCAAGTGGTTGTAAGCCCCACTTTAGTAAATCTCGACGGTAGGAGATGACGATTGATGGTACCTGGAGTACCATACTCCATCAGAAGATTATATGTGGCCTTGTCTCTTACCATGCACCTACTTTCCCCCACAGGATCATGAAAACTTCTTTCATTTTTCATGTATACGGTGCTCGCATAGGAGAGCACACTGTATGCGTGGTTCCTTTGGCTAAAGACTTCGGAGGATTTTCTTGATTTAAAATTCACTTATTTTAATACACCGAACACCTATGGTTTGAAGGGTTTGAGTTCCCAAACGCTTGGATTTTCAGTTCTTGAACACTTAGATTTTAATTATCTTGAGTATTGGATGTTTTTTGTCCAATCATATGAGGCGATTTTTTTATCAATTAGATCGAGATTGCATATTCAACTTTTTTTTCTTTTTTGTTGATCATTACGTTAAGTTGCAACTTACAATTTAGGTCTTAAAAATATTCCTAGCATGGGTTTTACATTACATTTTACTCGTAAGGGAGCATAAGCAGTGTTTGGGAACAAGTTCGAGAATACACTATAAGTATTTTTGCATTGTTGTTCTTTGAGGAGTGTATACTATGAGTCCATTCGTCATTATTATAAAGAAGTCACAATCAATCCCAGCCATTAAATATGTCAAATTTTATGGCTTAGCCTGTGTTACGGAGTTCGATAGTTTTTTTTAACTGTTAATTTAGTCAATGACACTTTTACAATCACTTTATTTAAAATCTGATGGATAAGAGTGAATATGACCTCCTTGTACTCAAAGTAAGTCTTTTTATTTTTATTTTTTTTTATTTTATTAATGGTATAATCGCTTAGTGTTGGGTTTATGTGACTTTTAAAGGCCTCATGAATGCTTGTAAAATAAAATGATATAGTGGAACATGAATTCAGTGGGAGTGTGGTCCCTCGTAGACCATATCATGCAAACGATGTTTGCAGATACCGGACTGTGCTTGACAATCTAAGCTAATCGGTTAGGAAAACCCCATGTTACTTGGGCACGCAGAACAAACCGATTAGGGTTCATGGGTTAGCCCTTGATGCGGTCGGTGAACATACTCGGATGAGTGAGCAGAGGGACTGTGTGACTCTTGTGTGTGATGTCGCC